TTATTTATTCTTTTTGGGAAATACTCTTAGTGATATTTTAGATGATCTGTCACTGGACGTAAGAAGAAAAATGTGGTTTATGCAGGATGGAGCGCCACCTCATTTTTTTCCTCAACGATGGATTGGCAGAGGCAGTGATTTTCAATGGCCACCAAGAAGTCCTGAGTACAACCCGCTAGATTTTTATTTTTGGGGACATATGAAGTCCTTAGTTTATGCCAATGAAATTAATACACGAGACGAACTTTGGAGATACATTCAAAATGCAGCTAATCTTATAAGGGGACAGAATAATTTTTTTTAACGTCCGAAAATCCTTTATAAAAAGAATAAGAAAAGGCATATAAATCGGAGGAGACCATGTAGAACATTTGGTTTGAGTTTTTGTGAGTTCTTTTAAGTTAAAGTGTGTTTAGTTTTGATTTATCGTCAAAACAGAAACCTTACGTTAAGTAGTTGCAACTTTGTTTATTAGTTTGGTATTTGATAGTGGAATTGTAAATAAAATACTATTTCTTTTCTAAAATTATGCCTCTGTGCCAATTTTGATAGCAATTTATAAATATACAGGGAAACTATTAGCAAAAAACGAAAAACAAAAATTAACTTTAACACCCTGTATCTTTTTTCTCGGCAACATTTTATTAAGGCATATTTGGCCCAATAGCCATATTTTGGTCCAAAAAAACCTGTCCTTAGTCTATGTCCCAATAGTTATGACTCACCCTGTATATCTTTTAAAGTACAAATGTATATTTTTTTTAATTTTTCCAGTTGGACCGGAAATTGTTATTAACAAATAATTTATAACAAAAATAAATTTCCCGAATTGCTTTAAGTAAATTTTTTTAGGCGTATCTCATCGAAATACTTAAATAATTTTTCTCTCTTGATAATTTTTCGAAAATGCTTCATTTTTGAGTTATTTGTAATTTTTTGTGGACAAAATTATTATTTCTGTCTTCCATTACAGCCTGTTGAATATCTTCAAAAATTGTGGTTTCCAATTTAGTTTTAATATTGGGACATTTTATTTCTTTAATTTTTGCACCACAGTATTATAAAAAATAATCAGTAGCATATGTCCTCAGTCCACAGTAGCTTGGGATCTTCAGGTACTGCAGTTATATTTTTATAGGTGTCAAAATTTCGACCAATCATGTGGCAAATCACATACAATTTCTAATAAAAGAAATTGCATAGTGTCATACAGGGCAAAAATGTATGTGCAAGAAATTATAAATAACTTTCTATATCAGAAACGATATAAGAAATGATACAAGAAAATGCATAGTGTCATACGGCCTTAACATAGTAAGTTTTGGAATTTTTTTTTCTTCATCATCACAGTCATTAACATCTTAGTAGATGTGTTGTGGTTCATAATTGGGCTTCAGCAGCTCGGACAGTTTGATGGATAATATTTCTCCACTGGTCGCGGTCATCAGTTATATGTATTGCCTCAGTATACTGTTTATTGAGAAGCTTTTTAGTAATGTCCGCCCATCGCTGTGGAGATCTTCCGCGTTGGCGTTGAGTCTGAGGCCTTCCTTGGACCACCAACCGCTCCATTTTGTGATCACTTCGATGGATATGGCCAAAGAACTTTAAAATTCTAGAGTAAACGGTACTGGAGAGACGCTGATCCGGTTTAATTTCATCCAGAACCGAGATATTTGTACGGCGAGCCGTCCATGGAATTCGAAGCAGGCGTCTCCATGTCCACATTTCAAAGGCGTCTATACGTCGTCGATCTGATTCTTTGACTGTCCATGTCTGGCATGCATAGTAAAATATGGAAAAGACCAGAGTTGAAACGAGTCTCTTTTTGTTTGTCATAGTAATGTGACGATCACGCCAGACCCCGTTTAGTTCACTCATTGCTGCTCTTGCTAGTTGAATGCGTCTTCTAATTTCGGATTCACAACTGCCTGTGTTGTTAACTAGAGCTCCAAGATATATCATAGATGAGACTACCTCGCATCCCGCAATAGTTTGGGTTTCAGGAAACTGTTGTTGGCGATCAATAACCATGATTTTGGTTTTGTTGTAGTTAACCATGAGTCCAAATTTAGAACTTTCTACCTCGAGTTTTTTTAATAATTTAGTAATTTCTTCTGAAGTAGAGGCTAGAAGTGTAGTGTCGTCTGCGAAACGCAAGTTAGATATCTTAACACCACTTAGGTTTACTCCTCCCTCCCAACCATCCAAAACTCTGCGCATTATGAACTCCGAATAGATGTTAAATAATAAGGGAGATAAAACGCATCCTTGGCGTACTCCCTTCTCCAAAGTGCATTTGTCAGACAGATATCCGTCCATTCGAATATATGCCAGGTTATCTTGATACAGTTTGCTAATAAGGTGAGTCAAGTGTTTAGGTACACCCATTGTCGTCAATATGTTCCATAGTTTGTCCCATCTAACATTATCAAAGGACTTTGTATAATCGACGAAACATATAAATATCGGGATCTGGTATTCTCTGGCTTTTTCTATGATGTTTCGTACATTAAGGATTTGTTCTCTAGTACCTCTGCCCTTTACAAATCCAGCCTGCTCAGGTGCTATTTGCCAACTTATGAAGTTTTCTAGACGCCGTTGCAGTATGTAGAGGATCACCTTACTGGCGTGTGATATTAGAGCTAATAGCCTGTAGTTGTTACAATTATTTGTTGAACCTTTCTTATGAAGAGGTATGATTATGGTCTTTCTCCAATCCTCAGGCCAGACGCCTGTGTGCCATATTTCATTGCACAATCGATGTAATATTTTCACTCCACATTCCGGAAGATGCTTCAAGACGTCTGCAGTAATGAGATCATATCCTGCTGCTTTGTTTAACTTAAGTCTTTTTAATGCGAATTCCACCTCGGAAAAAAGTATGTCAGGTTCAGACTCAAAACTAGTGTGGTGTGTCTCTGTTGAAGGAGAATGGAAAGTGGAGGTCTGGCAGTCAGGTACAAACGGGGCGTCCGCTGGCATCTGGTCCGTATTGGCGTATAAAGACTTACAATACGCCCTCTTTTTTTCTTAAAAACTACTAAATAAATTGCAATTCTATAAAAAGATTATAAAATAGGTAAAGAAATAATAATAAGACTTACTCACAATCAATTTAATTTAACAATCTGACGACCGGTTTCGCTTTCTATAATTTGCAAAGCATCTTCAGGTCGAGATACAAAGTTAAACTAATGCTGCAATAAAATAAACCCAATTAGGGTGGTGTCTCATAAAGATAAAATAAACAAATAAATAAATTAGTTCATACAAATTATAGTAATTATGCCAATATTACATGTCTGTGGTTTTCAAAATGAATAATTTGAATATATAAAAGGTAGTAACAGACAAGGTAAGGCCCACAATTGGTATAAAGTAGCAATCTTTTGTTGTAATAAATTAATAAATGAGCAAATAAATAAAACAAAACAAAACAAACATTACTTACATGCCGGTACTCTATTAATTGATGGATGGTAGGTCATGGTTGCAAAAATCATGTATTGTTGATTGGAGAACTTTAATGAGCTATTGCAGTTGTTTTGACATTTATTGTCAAAACACTTAGGCACTTAAAAGGTCAAAGGCACTTAAAAAAAGCCCTGTCTTATCAGCATTGTAGATGTCATCTGCATTGTATCCACGGGTCAAGTCTAGCAATTTAGCTTTCCAATCTTCGCAAGTTACATCATCTACGGCAGCACTTTCACAAGAAATTTTTTGAAACTAATTTCGTGTCTCTTTTTGAACCGATCCAACCAGCCATTACTGGCTTGAAAGTCTGCATACCCTAATTGTTCTGCAAATTGTTGAGCCTTTTCTTGGAGTATGGGACCTCCAACGGGTATATTTTTATCACGGCACTGTTTAAACCACTTAATAACAGCTTCTTCGACATCCTGTAGCTCACCTTTCTTAGCCTTTTTGCAAATTTTGGACAGTCCACCGCCAACTCCGTACTTGTCTTTTTTTTATTATTGTGGTTAATGTGGAGGGAGTGATGTCAAAGTCCTTAACAAATCTCAAATTTCTTCTTCTTGGGATCTTCTTCAACAAATTGTATCAGTTTACGTTTAAATTCTACTGTAAGCGCTTTTGTGCAACTGTGTGTTTGCGACATATACGACAAATACGAACACAAAATAAAAAAATACACTTCGATGTACTGTACGATAATAATACTTAAATCTTTAGGTACTGATCACAGTGTAAACACAGTGTCAAGGTCAATACTGCACTGACTTTCTGATGGTTCTAGGGGTAAGGGGTGGGAAGCAGGTCACATTGTTTTCATGTCTGGATTTGTCCGTGAGTCACCACAATCTATACTAAATTACGCTAAACCGAGGTTTGGAACGCAGAAATGCGTATCACAGGGGTTTCGTGCGTTATGTAAGGGTTTGCTACACTCAATATTCATTATACAGGGGTTTTAATTTATTTCCGCAAATTGCACTTTGTACACTGCATTTATCTTGGTGCAAAAACACTCGCATGTTATTTGTCAATTGAAGCGTCTTTACATGCTGCCGCAAATTGGATGATGTTAGGCATGCGTTTAATTCGTACGCATCATTGGGGAATAATTATTAAATAAGGAACAGTTTGAAAATAGAATCATGGCTTCACCAAAAATGTTTTTGGTTATCCCGAATATCTTTCAAAGTTCTCTGTCCAGTACCTGTAATGACCTCTTATGGTCCAATGTTCATTCATCATTTTCTTCTTCTTCTTTTTATGTATGGTAATGGTAATTTCAAGGCAAAATGTCTAATTCGTTCACATTCCAATAAAATTGCAGGTATTCCAGATGAAGCCAACGCTAGGGCTACTGCGATCTGATCCTTGCCAATAACAATAAAAAGAGTAATGTTTTTTCTGTCCATCGCGACCCCATTGAAAGTGGAATAAATACAGATAAAAGCAACCATTTGTAGCTAGTTTTAATAAGTATTATGAGATGAGGATATTAATATTACTCGTATAATTTTCAGGAGTCGAAGCCGACACCCTCCCCCCTAGCTCTGCTAGCGGCCACGTGTAGCAGAATAGGTCCGACGTCTGGCGATACCCCAGCAACAGTTACCATGTCAACGACGCCAACACCAACAAACGTCAATATAAAAGGCGTACCTATGGCAGCTAGTCCTCAAGTAGTAAGCGTTCCCGTTGGACTACCCCAGCAATTACAACAGCAGTTACTTCAACAACAAGTCAGCGCAGCAGCTGCGGCTGGTCAAAATGCTGCGCTAGCATATAACCTCATGCAGCCTATGCAAACTGTTACTGTCGACGGACAGGAAGCGCTTTTTATACCCGCCATGTCGTTAGCTGCTGGTAAGTAAACACGGATATGTACTATTTCTGTTTTTCATGTATTTACGTAAGAAACACTGATGATCATCTGTTTTAAATTCAAAGCCCAAATCTTTTAATATTGAAATAATGTAGAAATAATAATAATAAAGTAGAACAGATCATGGAACATAAAACTCTAACAACACAATATTTTTTAATTAAAAAAAGGAAACAAAATAAACGTTGCTATGTCATTTTATCCAAGTATATTCGACTAAAACGACACACTCACATGGATAAAATGTCATATAAACTAAATTAGCAAAGTTCACAAATAAATTTTTTGCACGATTTTGAGATACCAGCACAATCACAGTGTGCCCATTTTGAGCATTTTTGGCACTTAATCCAGAATTCTTTGGACCTTGAATGGGAGTACAAACTCTTACAATTTAAACATGGAGGATTATTTTCGTCTTCGTCATCATCTGACGCAATGGTCTTTGTTTCCTCCTCGCGATCTTGTGTCATTAAAGTCAGATTCTTAATTGCTCGCTTTGCAGCTTGACGTTTTTCTGTAGCTCGCTTCACGAGTGCTTTGGCTTTTTGTTCTTTCATATTTGGGTAGCCGTTAGAACTTTTGTTCCTTCTGATTTTCTTTTTTTGGAGCGTGACTGGACACCTGAACACGATGGAAGAGGTAAAAATCAAGTGGACGAATACCACGATTAATTGAAGAACAACTTTCAAGTGAGTTTGGTCTAGGTGTAGAAACCGGTTTGTTTCCTTGATCTGGAAAATCTTGATGTCGCAAAACATTATCATTCTCTTCTTTTGACTCTGTTAGGGGTTGAATTGCAACTTCTTCTTGAATATCTGTTATTTTGGAAGGATTAAATAAATAATCAGGGAATATGTCGGAATTAAGGGGCCAAATTCCAGTGTTTAAAAATCCACTAACGGCATTTTGGTGTGTAGCTGCTTTTCCATACGCTGTAGCAAATAATCCTCCAACTTGGTATTGCGAAACTGTTCTGCCTGGATGACACTTCATCCACTTGGTAACTTCTTGATCATAGTATCTCTTTAATGGACCAAAGAAACATACATCTAACGGCTGTAGACGATGGGTACAGTGCGGCGGAAAACACAATATCACTATTCCATGTTCTTTGGCAAAAGTTAAAACATTAATGTTTTTATGGCTCGCATGCCCATCAAGCAACAGCATAACCTTGTCTTCTATAGAAGGATTAGAATATTCTTTAAAATGTTTCATCCATGTTAGGAACACTTCGCCTGTCATTCATCCTGTTTCCTGTGCTATTCCTAAAGTTGCTAAAGGTGCTTCATCTATTAATTCTTTTTTCCAATTTTTCCTGGGGAATATAAGTGTTGGTGGAACATAATTCCCCACTGAGTTAATGCAAGCAACCATCGTTATGTGCTGCCCTCTTTCCACACTTGTAATTAGGCCCACTTGCTTCCGACCCTTGGTTGCAAATATTTTGCCGGGTTTTTGAACCGTGGATAGGCCTGATTCATCCACATTCCATATGCGTGTAGGATTAATTTTGTTATTTGTAATAGTATCCTCTAAAAGTTTTAAAAAATTGGCAATTTGCGGCCTGTTGAATGATTGCGCTCTTGCTGCAGACGTGGACTCGGATTTTCTAAGGGATATATCGGGGTGTCTAGACCGAAACCCTCGTAACCAATCCCAACCAGCCATCTTAGTTTTTGTGTTAAGATAATCCAAACAAACTTGATTCTAGGAGTTTTATGTATGTTACGAGGTCTCTTTCTAATTCTACAGAGAACGTAGTTTCGTACCGGCCAAGACCTTTATTAGTACCTGATACCCGTTTATTCTTGTCTGATGCTCGTCTTCTTAAAGTAGCTTGAGGCACATTAAAAGTTATCGATGCTTTTAACCAGCCCATGTCTCCACACTGGACTGCTTGGATGGCTCTTTGCATTTGTACTGGATCCCAAGACTAGCGTGTACTTTTCCTTTCGTAGTGTCCCACCATACTAAAAAAGAAAAATACCATACATTAATATTCTACCTACCATATTATTATTAAAATTTATATGGGCAAAATGACATACTATGTCATTTTACCCGAGTATTTAATATGTCGTTTTACCCAAGTGTGAACAAGAACACGTTTTTTACAATAATTTTTTTGTTTTAAACAAACAAAGCTTCCAAACATGATGTTTCTGTTAATATGAATAACAATACATACCTGGAACTAACAGAGATATAAAATTTTAAAGTTTTAAACGTTTTATAGCGAAGTATACGTCGCCTACCAAAATATTTTGGTACTCAATAAAGCACAAACCACCTTTTAACAAGTAAACGACTGAACTGATCGCGACGCCCGTTGGAACATCAATTATGCACCACGTGATGCTCTTGTATAAAACTTCTTAGCGCATAGCCATGTTGCCAAGTTAGAGATACACAGGATGTGTCATTTTACCCTAGTACATATGTCATTTTGAGCCAGGTTCCCCTAACATGTTAAGTCCTACTCGTAATTCTCAACAGAAAGTTTGTCCGGCAAAATTTATATACCTTGCTCTTTTAATAACATATTTAAAGATTGTCTGTTCTATATTTTAGATACTGATTAACAAAAATCTCTATTAGGTCTAAAGGCAGCAAGAGACTTTAAAATTGTTTGTGATTCTAGTGTTAGTAAGATAGACAATGAAACAAATCGTATAAATAGTTACAAGAGCATTTTTTCAGGTGTAGGAAAAGTCAACAGGTATTTTAATACTGTACTGTACAGAAGTCCAGTTCTTTGTTCGGCCGAATCGTTGTCTGCTTTGTGTAATATCAAGTTCCAAAAAAGTTTCTGATGATAGATCGTACTTATATTGAATTGTAAATGCCTTTTCTTTCTGAAATCGCAGCCACTTGATTTTAAACCATTCAACGTTGTCCCCAACACAATTTACAGTACTGTTTGAGTTCTTTAAATTAATAACTTGGTATGGTCTAGGTTTAATCCTAGCAGCTGAAATCAATAGACACCACTCCCGAGTGTTTAAATTTGTTTATGTGCCCGAGCCCTCCCGACTGTAGAGTGTGCATTGAATCCGCTTCCAGGTACGAATGACCTGATTCCATAAATTTTAAGTCAATGATTTAAAGATTATCAATTGTATTGATGGCATAGAGCATCGCTGTGGCAACGTTTTTATTTCTGTTTTGACCTCCGCTTGTGTCAGAAAAGGAAGCTATGTGGCTTACAGTTTTGGGTAGGTCTAATAGTAGATATTTAAGCAGACATGACCCAATCTCAGAACTACCTTTGCTACCATGAGTTTCATCCCAAACATAGCAATAACTGTCTCGAGTAGATCCATCATAAATTGTAAAATTGTAAACATTTAGATGGCTCTTGTAATATATCTGAGAATCACCAGCAAACGGAACGGATAGAATAGCTTCCAGATCGAATGTTATTGTTCTAAATGTATTTCCGAACGTTTCTACTGCCATTTTTTATCGTCTTCTTTCATATCCATCTACTGTTTTTCGGCTTTTTTTATGCTTTTCATACTCTTCTCTTAAGGGATCTTTTTCTTTGGCCTGCTTGAATGCATTACACACTGAACACTGATCCTTTTTTCGACGATAAAAGGCAAGAGTTGGTTCAAAATCATGAAAAATACTTTGCTACAGAAACTTTGAGACCGGACTTAAACTATTAGAAGTGCAAAAGTCTTGATATAATCGGTACATGATGGAAATGTTTAAATCTGCATTTAGATATTTTTTAGTTGAATCACGCCTGCAGTAATGCGACTGAATTCTTGGAAATGAGTTAATATGATCCTTAACTTGCTGCCGTTGTATCTCAGCAGTTGCATTGTGGGGTTTGCTATTCTGTCTTTTATCATAGCCGACAAAAACTCCCTTATTCATCATTCCTTCAACACACTTCTCGACGACTTTTTTTTACCACTAATTCTTAACTCTTTTACAATTGATCGTTTCCATTCCTTTTTATTGGCTTTTCTGCGGCGACGTTTTTTTGGTATTTCATTCGGTTCCTCATCTTTTGGCTTATTTTATCAACATTTTCAGATTCAGTGCTTTCTTCTGACGGATGATAAGGACTTCCCGATGAAGCATAGAGATTATATTCATCAAGATCACCACCATTATATGAGTCAAGTTCTTGAATCGGGTGATTAATATTTTCATCACACCAATTTTCGTTTGTTTCATCAGTTTTCTGTACTTGATTTAGAATAATAGTTTCTGTTATATCAGTTTCTACATTACCTGGTACTCCTTCAGTAGTTTTTCCAATTCTGGAGTTATTGTGGCAACTGAAATAAATAATTATTTTTAAGTAAAACAAGATGGTTTTTTCAGTCGACACCTTACTATACCTTTAAGCTCTTTTTATACATCATCTAACGCCATCTGTAGTATCTTCTCCGATCTGGACGCCATAATTATAATTACAATTATTTTATAACGCTTTTCATAAATCGTATAATAATTTTGTCACTATCACTGTCAAATAACCTCAAAATGCAAAAGAAGCATGTGTTCACTTCACTCATTTGTAATTATTGCACAAGAAACACAAAGGTACTAAGTGCTCTTCCAACCTTTGTGCTAGATTCCTACAATTTATTAGTACTTACCACTTTTGTTAGATGGCGATAGCAAATTTAAAATTATAATTATGAGTTAGCTCGAGTGTGCATATGAAACTCCTTGCTAGTCTTAATTTCGGAATGCATTTAACTCATTTTGCCAAAAAAGTCACTTAACACCTGTGTGCACTAGACCGACGATATTATATATTGTATTTCGAATTGCAATTTTATTGCCCTCAGGTAAATCAGTAGTTTTTGTTTTTAAACGAAGTCTGCTTTTTCCTGGAGAAGATAATTCAGGATTTTTTCTTTTCTTTTTCGTATATTGTATACCGTTTTTTTTTTCGATAATTTAAGTGTAGCTGCTACCCTCTACAACTAAGTTCGGCGTAATCCAAAAGAATTCAAAAAAAAATTTTTTTTTGCCATTTTTTTTCACTTTTTGGAAAGTTAAACAAAACCATTCCGTATGTAAATTAATAGCAAAATAAAATACAGTTAGCATAAAATTTTAAGCTCAATATAAAATTAGTAGGTAATATAATTTAGTTTGTGTAATATAAATAACTTCTAAATGCAAAACAGGACAAAAAAACAGCAAAAATCCAACAAACTGACAGGTACAAGTAAATAAACCAAAAACGTCACAAATTATACTTAAAAACTGAAAACGTCCCCAATCGTCTTTTTTGTAGCTATCTTTTTTCGATGTACTGAGTCTAGAGCAAGGATCCGCACTAGGATTTCTTTGAGAGCCTAATAGTTTGAATGAAATTTTCCTCAGACCGCAAATACAAGTGGTGGTATGAAATAATTTTAAAACTATATGACTATAACATAAGTTTATTACAAGTTACGTAAAAACAATATAATTATAAATTATATGGACTCTTTTGCATGTAAAAAGTAGGAAAATGTCTTTTACTTGATCCAGGAATGTCAAGTCCTGAATTTGTTAATTCTTTGAAGTCGACGGGCGAAATATTTCACAGCTCTCTAGAATAGCATCTGTGTTATCAGGTTGGGAATTCTCAAAATGTTTCTGTACTTGTTTTTTATGAACTTCATCTTACTGAATGTAGATTCACAGACATATGTAGATGCAAAAATACAAAAAAATTTCTGAGCACAGTCAATTAAGTTAGGAAATTTGTCATTTTCAACCGATTCCCAAAATTTATAGTGAGCTTTTTCCTTTTTTTCTTCAAAAATACTTTTGAGCTTTGTATCATTCTGAAGACCAATTAACTCTTTTTTCAAATCCCTAGCTTTGTATCCAAAAATAGATAGATGTGCTACATTTGCTGTTCTTATTACCCATGGATTTTCCACCAAAAGAAGTGGTTCTTGGAACTTCCTGAAACCTCACAGACATTTCATCCTTTAGGTCTGCTAACAGCTTCAGTAGATCAGAAATATCTTGACTTTCATGTGGATTTTCATCAAATAGTGCTTTAACGGAAGGCAAGCTGGAATAATTTTCATTTGACAATTCTTCAATATACATATTCACTCATATTATACATATTCTGCTCCAGTGAAAACACAATACTCATCATTTTCGTTACAATGTTATTGTAGTCTCCTTGCAATTTGGTCAATGTTTCATTCATAATACTCATTGTATCAGTGAGAAACGCTACTTTAAGCCACCAACTAAAATTATGAATATCAGCATATTTTAGCACGTGAAAATCCTACCCTGTCGCCTAATTTCCTATGAAATTAAAATGATAAATGTTTTTAGGGTCCATTTATTTTTTCGGATATGCGTATTTACGAGGTCTACAAGGTTTTGAAACACCTGTACTGACCGGCCAGTGCCACTGTGGTGGGGGTAAAGATGACTAATGTAAAATGCGTTACAATGCATGGCGCCGCTCTACACTACTGTAATCTGATTTAATACATAAATAGAAACATAATTATATTATAACTCGCAAATTTTGTTTTACTGTCTAGCAGTCGGAGGGCCGCGAAAAATCGCTCCGAGGGCCGCGTAGTGAGTATGGCTGGTCTAGAGCGTTCATAAAAATAACTTGTGTCTTTACTTAATAACGGGCGGTATCTGGTTTATCTTTACTACGTCCGACAGAAATCTAGGATACTTTTTGGATAATATATATTTCCATCATTAAAATGTAAAACTATTAAGAATTCACCGTCAAATATAGTATACTAATATCGATTGTAATTTCAGGTGCTCAGCAGCCCCAGCAGCTCTTTAGTCCTGGTCAAATCATCCGCGCTCCCAGCACAGTAATCCCTGCAAACATTCAGAATATCCAGAACCTCCAAAACCTCCAGAACCTGCCTACCGTTCAACTTGCCAACGGCCAAAGCGTCACTGTCCGCCCGTCTATTCCCCAAATGGTGCAATTCCCTATGCAACAAACGATACCCATACAAGTGCCCATTTCTACGGGGAATGGGCAAACTGTATATCAAACCTTCCACATACCAGTCCAGCTGGCCGCCACAACCGTGCCAAATATCATTCAGACACAGCCGCAGTTCGCGAATATATTGACGCCGAACGGTCAAATACAGCAGTTGCAGATTGCTACCAGTGTCGCTGCGCCACAAACTCCCACGTCAGTTGCTCAGACTACTGCGCAGGTTGCTCAAGTAAGTTACTTTCTATTATGTTGATAATATAGTCAGATTGTTGTATTAAAAATACGTCACGTTAACGTCATCTATTGTTATTAATCAGTCAATAAATAATCATCTGATAAATCAACAAACTATTGGAAAGTTAAGCTGGTTCTAAAGATTTAAATAAATAGCTATTAGGTAGGTATAGTAAATATTGCTATTATGATTCGTAATAAAAATGTTCCGTGTTACTGTGAAATATGTCTTAACCTCAAAAAGAGTAATGTAAATACAGATATTACCGTTATTACAGAACGCCGTAGAGACAAAAAAGAAACGACAGAAAGGTGATATTTGATACCGCTGAAAAAATGTTTTGGATATTTTATTGGCACCAGTGGCGCACCCGGGGGGCAAACTTTAAGGACTTAAAATGGTGGAGGTAGCATAAAAATATTTCGGTGTCCAACCAAAAACCCCCCCAGAGGAAAATTCTAGTTGCGCCACTGATTTGCACATAATAAATAACAATCAGAATGCCCACTGTCAGATGCCGGCTTTGAAGTTTGTCAGCACGCAGACGTCATGTTTTAGACGGAAACATAGACTCGAATTGAGAAATTTGTGACAAGGTACGACAGAACTGTAGTTTAAATTTTTAAAGATTAATAATTTAGTACATTTGAAATAATTTAATCTATTCTTCAACTAAAAGTACGAATAAAATATTACATATTATGTGTGTAGTTGCTGTAAATAAATTAAACCGGGTTAATTTACTATGCACACCAGATAAAATGTCACTGAACAGCACTGGATCCGTTTAAAACATGGCTGATTCCGTCTGAGCGAACGAGATGCGCGTACTAATTTTTTCAAGCAGATTGGACATTCTGTATTGGATTGAAAATTTGGCAACATAGTAAGATGGACAGCTGAAGAATGAATGTAGGAATGAATGGAGTTCTTATCGAAAATAATTCTTATTTCAAAATACTTAAGGAACAACTAACATTTTTTTATTCTACCAAGCTTTTTTCACCGCATTATATTTAAAGCACATGACTTTGTATTGAAAAACATTCTACCATAGACAATGCACAATCCTGGCGTAATATTTTAAGTATTATAAGACTCTTTGTAGCCCTAAGTTGAAGTAAGAATAATTTACACTGTCAAGCTGTTCAAATACCTTTTTACATTATGTCATAAATTCTAGCTGTAATCATTTTATGATGCTTTGACCTTGAAGTGTCAATTATAATTTACTAAGATGTGTCTAACGTTCCATATCCCGTGTTATTAGAGAGTTATTGCAAAGTTAACAGTGCCTGCGTTGCACTATTTACACCGCGCTATTTCGACAGTTTTGACATATGGCTGACACATCACAAATAGAGATATTGCTTCAACTTATGCATACTTTGTTGCGTTATTTACGTTGTTTATGTTTTCTTTTCATTTGTTCGCAAATTATTGAAAATTGATCATGATTTAGAAGCACTTATTTTAGTAAATGCTCATGATGATGATGATGTAGGATTCATAATTTTAAATAACATTGTGGGTGAACATGTATTACATCCACAAAATTAAGAATTTAATTTAGAAAACATGTTGGAAGCAGATGTAAAAATAAATTTTAGGTTTAGCAGACATTTCTACAAGTGCAAGGGCTTTACGCCTACCAGATTTTATTCATACCAATACTAGAAACTCTGTTAGCGGTAAATGCATTTGCATTCTACATTACTTTCGAAATTAAGCCCTTATATTTTTGTTTTTAGTTTTGATGAGAATACTCGTATACCCCAGCAGGCCTAAAGATCTTCAACTTTTATTCAATTTGTCACCTAAATCATTATCTCAAATTATTAATTATATTTTTGCATTATGCTACTCTCTGATATACTCATTTTAGAAAATTATTACAAATAAACTTGGTTTAAATTAAAGAAAAACAACATACATAACCTGAGAAAGAAAATAGCGCAACGAATTCCGTACAGCGTAACGGCTCCCCTAATAACGGCAGGCCGTATTTTCAATAACTCAGCGTAAGCCAAATATCACATCTGCGCATGCTCTACTGTCAAAATAACGCGTGCTGTAATACAGCAAGTGCAAAATTAACTCTGCAATATCTCTCTATTATTACAAACGAGTTATCGCTAAAAATTGTTTCTAAAATGTGTAGCTGCCGAGATATGACAACAAAAAGGAGAAAAAACATTTTTCTTTTTTTTTCTTTTCTTTTTCAAAAAAGAATTTTTCTAATTTTTTTCACAAATTGTTTAATAAAAAATTTAGTCCACCTTTTGAAGTTTACACATAGTTTAATTATCAGTAGTAATATCTCTAGGACATTGATAACAGACAAGATAATTTCATGACAATCGAAAGCTCGTTCCTTGGTAGCAACGAGCTTGAGAAATTTGTCATGAAATTATGAGGCATTGATCAATGTCCGAGGGATATTCGGCGGATAATTTTTCGAAAAAAAAAATCAACTCAACATAACGAAACATTTATTTATTAAAAGTACAGTTAGTGAAAGTACAATTATTAAAATTTATACTTTGAACATTCTCAGTGCCGAAACGTGACATTTTGAAATTTATTTGAATGAAGTTGTCAAACTCGATCCTGTTGTCATAGGGATTGAAAATTGCACTGAATGCAATTATCAGTCTAATGTTGACATGATTGGGTGAAATTGTTCCACATGACACAAAATGACGAAATTTGAATGGTTGTTAGAACAGTCGAAAAATTAGCATTCCTAATAATATTAAAGCGGTTAAAGCAAAGCAACTAGGATTATAGGAGAAAGTAGGGTAAAATGGTCCTCTTGGGTAAAATGATCCCCCAACATATTTCTCATAATTTTCATAAAACTTCCGTTTAGCTTTTTTTATTATATTCAGTATTACTAGTGCCACTTAGTACGAAACTGTGAAGATGTGCGAAACATAGGCTAGTTTTAATATAGCCTATAAAAACACATGTAATATTGCTAATTTAGTGCTTACAAAAGTTGTGTTTTTAGGCGTTTTAATGAAAGTACATAGGTAGATGTTTTTAATGAGTTTGAAAAGGCATTTTTTCCTGTTTATTTCACATATGTTGGAATTTCTCTAATTACCAGTAGTCACTCATGTAAATTAGTTTTTATATTTAATCAGATTTTGAGGCAAAATGGTCCATCCATGTCCGAACACTTTATTTTTACAACTAATCTGGATGCATAAAATCTGACACCTTCATTCTGTTCTTAAATTATTTTTAACAACATACACAGTACTGAGTTGAAGATAGGGTCCTAATAACGTATTTTAATAAGAATCGTAATACATCTTCATCAGACGAGTAAGATGAATGGAAAGTAAATGGGCGATCTTCGGATGATATCACCTTTGTGGAAACAGTCCTGGGGATTATCAGAAAATAAAACTTTATCCACTGCACCAGAAGTCGTTGTTTCAAACGATAAACTTGACATGATAAGCTCTGCAATTGGTAATTAAATATCAATTTTCGAAGAATCACTTCAGAAAGATAGCGTTAAAAGGAATGAAATTCCATCATCTTATGTAGGAGGATACTTGTGTAACTCCAATTCTATATTTCTGCTACTTCAGCCACCTCCTTTGACAAGGAGTTCAAGATCTTTGTAAGGATCAACAAAAGTCAACTTCAAACTTCAAGAAAAAGAAAGAAAATAAAAGATTCAGTGATGATCAAGATAATGCCGCCTGCATATTTTGCTCGGAATTATTCAGTACATCGCAGGTGAAAGAGGTTTGGATTAAATGCCCTTGGTGTAATAAATGGTGCCATCTATTGTAAGCGGGTGTAATTGGAAAGCAAAAATTGTATGTATATTTGCGATTTTTGTAAATAGCAATGTTTATTACTTTTTCTGTACAAAAGAACTGTAGGTGTCATTTTACCTTATGGACGGGGTCATTTTATCCTAACCAGGGTGTAAAACGGTCCCTTTAGACCTTTTCAAAAATAATGTTATTTTTCTTTTAATTGCATATTTAAATATATTTTTTTTCACAGAAATATATTCTACTGTACCTCTCTTATTGTTTGATTAAATTTTACTTTATTAATTAGTTTTTTGTTATTTTTAACCTAAAAAATCTTACAGGGACCATTTTGCCTCACTCTCCCCTATACAATTCACCCAAGTGAGTGTTTTAGAACAGATACCGCTTGGACTAAAATAATATAAACCTATATAATTTGTAGTTAGCAGAAAAATTATCATACTTTTTGCTATCACATTTTTAAAAATGATAAAAACTCGTATCCATTTGCTATTAACTAAACGACCTGTACTCGATGAACACAAACGTGAACCTATCTTAAATTTAAACTCTTTTATATTGTTGTTTTTATTATTTGTCTATTTTTTCCGATGTTTACTCTTGTGGTGATCATTTATTTTATTAAATTTTGTCTTATAACCCTTTCTTTTTCTTACTCATTTTCTTTGCAACACTCTTCAAGATTTTTTGAAATTATTTACTAATTATCTAAGATTGGATGAAGACAACATTAGTAATCATAAATTAGTAATGAAGCTACATCATTTGTTTTAGATTGACACAAGTCCACAATTGACGTTCACAGGGGCCAATGGGCAACAATTTACGGTGATCCCAGCGGCAAATCTTCAACAAGTTAGAGGTGCTACAGTAGGAAATCTAGGAAATTTAGGAAATATTATTCAAGTGCCTAATATCCAAGCAATACCAAATATACAAAATATTCCAGGTATGTAAGCAGTTAGCTGTAGTTATGTTCTTAAATATTAGAAACATGTTTTACTTCTTCTTCTACTTCTTGGAGAGCTTACGATCTGTTTAATTCTGAAGTTGCCTCTTGTGAATTTCCTGGGAGGTAGATTGCCAACTATTCCTCTTGAACCGTGTGGGTTGTTTTCTAGGGCAATATTTGGGAGTCTATTCTCATCCATTTGTCTTACATGATTGTACCATATCCTCTTACGCTGCCTTCCCCATCTTACAATATCTTGAATTTTGCACTGTTCTCTAACGTTTGTATTTTTCACTCTGTCTCTTCTTGTTTTGCTCACTATTGTTCTTAGGGTTTCCATTTCGGCAACCCTTAGCATCTATTTAGTTTTGTTGGTATCTTCGTGCACATCTATGCCATATGTCATGATCGGTCGTATGCAAGTCTTGTAGATTCTAATTTTATTGTCTGTGCGCATATACGGATTTGACCAGACTGTCTCCCGCAGACATCCTGACAATGCGGATGCTTTGTTGATCTGACTCCTTAGGTCCTTTACTGGTTCGTGTGTGATTGATATATCTATGCCCAGATATCTTTTGTTGCCCATTCTGTATCCGAGATTAAGAGATGTTAGTTTGTTTATAATTTTATCCATGAGTAGGTTAAACAGGAAGGGGCTTAAACTGTCTATGCCTTGTCTAACTACTCCCGGTGTTGGAATATTTTCATTGAATTGGTCTCCTGTTCTAACTTTGGTTTGGTTTGTTGTTATTTAAGTTATGAATGATCTTTGTTATGTTGGTCGTTGTTTTATTTTCTATTAATATATTTAGAATGTCTACATTCTACTATAGAACTCTATAGCTTTTTCTTTTATTTGTTTTATCATGAATAATATCTGTTATAGACCGCCCTCTTGTAAAACCTTGTTGTTCTTCAGCATTAGTGATTTGCCATTCCAATTTGTCTTTAAGAATACTCATGAAAAGTTTCATCGTTGTATTTAAGGGGGTTATTCCTCCGTAGTTTTGTGGGCAAGTTTTTTGTCCTTTTTTAAATATGGGGATTGTGATGCTCTTATGCCATTTCTCTGGTGTTTCTGTTTCGTTTAAGATTTTGTCAAATAGTTGTGACAGTTTACTTACAAGTTCAGGGCCTCCATATTTTTTACTAAATAATTGTATTTATCTAGGTTTAGGTAATGTTCAAGTGATAACTCAACAAGCAGCGGCCCCCACTCAAATCTCCGTAGGTCAACATATCCAGCAAGATCCCACAGATCCTAACAAATGGCAAGTAATACCAACAGTTACGACGACGACTCAACCCACAGTGGCTCAACCTGCAGCAACGCCGGTGTACACGGGTCAGATTAATCCAACACTAACGCTGGTTACCTCGGATAACAATGCCTCGATTCAAATGCAGAACGATACTAGTCATCAAGATGCCATGCAGAAACAGAGGGTGAGGAGGGTGGCGTGTACATGTCCGAACTGTCAAGAAGGTATGTTATATACTTTTTTATTTAATGAACAGCCGGTTATTCTTTGTAGCTTGCTTTATTTCCTCTTTAATACATAATTTTTAAAACAATGGATTGGAAGTGCCTAACCTACTCCTCTAGCACTTAACCGATAATTCCGTCGTGTTATCTACTTAGTGATTTTTCTTTTGATATTTTTAGTTTTTATTTTCTCTAGTTGTTTTAACAGTATCTTCCAACGTTTTATATTACATATTGTTCTTACTTGTTCGAAGACAAAAGTATCGAGTATCGGCCAGGAAGTAATTCTGCAATCTATCAGTAGCCAACGGGGAAGTTTTAAAAATGCAATACGCGGACAACACATTATTATTTGCAAGAAGAACAGATAAATAACAAGGATTATTTGCAAATCAATCTCAAGTACTTGCAAACGTATAGTCTTATAATCTACACATATTTGTATAAATGATGTTCTAATCGAAAAAGTAACTTACTTTCTGAACATACGACGACCTCTATAAGTTTGTACATTCAATCACTGGTTTCCCCCTTCGAATTGAGTATTTCGATATACAAAGATATAAGTAATGTATATGTAATGTAAGTGAAATAAAAGAGAATATTATATATACATTTACTTCTAAATCATTAAGACCTACAAAATTAACATAAGCGTGACAAAGATACAAAAAAAATTATCTAAGATTGAGAATAATTCTAAGGTGATAAGTAGTAATAGTATGAGTCAAATAATTGTGTTTTCCAGAAAGTATACTAATACCCTTTATATTTCATGATATAACCAGAGTGTGACTTATGTTCATAGGAACAAGAATGTTTAATGTATGGGAATGTCATGAACTAAATTATACTCTTAAGGTGTAGAGAAGCCAATGACTCATTAGATGGTGAAAATCCTCAGAAACAAAAAGACTGACATATCTTACTACTTATCACCCTAGAATTATAGATTATACACAGCGACAATGTCTTTTAAGGTTGATCTGCACCCACAAAAGACAAACTACAAATTCAAAAAAATTGAGAAGGTGTATGTGACACTAGAAGTATTTTGACAACTTTTGAACAAATTTCATGTTTTCGTTTTCGAAAAAACTCTAAAAAACTACTTTTTTCCAAGTATAAAGCGGGAAAACCAGACATACAATTTTGTTAATTTTCTTACAGCATAAAGATATAAGAAATACTTATGAATTTTTTGGAAATTTTTGAATTTACAGTTTTGTCACAATGGGAAAAAATATTATGTTCCGGCTTATAATAAAGCTACCGGTAAGAAACCGGAAAAAAATTTAATAACAGCATTTATAAAACTGTAAAAGTGGAAAATATTTGCAATAAAACGTTGAATATTTTTTCCTAAACATATGAAAAATCTCGTTAAATAATAATTATATGTTGAACTGCCGGTATCAAATTGTATACTAGAGAGGTGGCTCCATCTCAAACGTTGGTAGAATTTATCATCGATAGATTGCATTACTTTCGGCCTCGAAACGCTTCAAGCGAATCGTCATACTAGCAGGGTTGCCATATCAATTATTTTGTACAACACTTTGGCAAATTACAACAAGATTTAATAAAAATGTTATCGGTTTGAATGAATTTTATCTGCCTGAAACTTAGAGAATAGCAGATACCGTACTATTTAATCCACAAGTAATATATCTATAAAAAAAGTATTTAGTTTTTAAAAACCTATTTAGGCATTTTCAGTTAAATATTAGTATAAGCATTAGTTTTTCTTAAGGAATTCACATTTGTCAACTTATATTTTAAATCTTGTTTCTCTTAATTTCTCAAAAATCTTCTTAAGATTTACCATATGTTCTTAAAGAGAGGTTGAGAGGGCTGAGATTAAGCCCCAATTATTATCACAAATAATTGGGGCTTAATCTCATATAAACATACCCTTGAAATAAGAAAGTAGTTTCAGGCCCTTGATTAAAATCAGTTCTTTTATCGATTATGATAAAAACATAGTAAAGATACACAAACTTGAATGTTATTTAAAATTTCAGCACATATATAGTGTGTGCATTTAGGCAGACAAGAATAGAGTGATCTTTGTTTGATTTAACGTTATGACTCTAAACACTATTCTGTTTTTTAGGTGAACGTCACACAGACAGAAAGAAACAACACATATGCCATATACCTGGTTGTAATAAAGTCTACGGTAAAACAAGTCATCTTAGAGCTCATCTACGATGGCACACTGGCGAACGACCATTTGTTTGTACCTGGCTGTTTTGTGGTAAAAGGTATTTATTTTCTTATATGTCTTAACTTTAAAAATCATTTTTGAATTGCGTTTTTATATAAAAAAAAATTACTGAAACTTTTATGATATCGTTGGGAGTCAAATAATTGAATTACAGGTATTTGATGAAATTTTATGCTTTGCTCTTCTTCATGTTAAAAACATGCTATCTGGACATACAATTAAAAAACAAATAAACTGTTTTTGTGCCATGTTCCTTATTTTGTTCGCAACGGACCTAACTAGTGTGTTGATGCTGAGTCCATACCACTGACGAGGGGAGCCACGAGGTTCTTCGTCGGCTAGCACAACGTTTCCCTTCTATTTTCTCTGCATTCCCAATTTCTCTTCACGTGGGTAAAATACTTAATTTTTTTTCCTTTTGTGGTATTCAAAACTTCTCTTTCTTTCTTTAGATGCCGCCAAACTGCTTTATTCGTTACTCTCTGTCCATCCACGATATTCTCAACATTCGGCAATATGTCCACATCTTGAAGGCCTCAATTCTTTCACACATTGTTTCAGTGAGAGATCATACTTCCATTCCATATAGCAGAATACTAAAGACATAACAACATCAGTCAAAGAGTCAAGGTAGGTTGTCATCTGTCTGATAGTATCTCAGTAACATCTGGAGTTCCTCAAGGATGCCACACTTCTCCACTTCTTTTTAATATCTTCGTTAACATCACTTCCTGTTTCCTAAATAGCGAATGTTGGCAGATGATTTGAAATTTTGCAAAGATATAGATAGCTTAAAAGATCAAGCCTTGCTACAAGATGACTTAGGCCTCCTACAAAATTGGTGCAATCAGAACAAAACTACTTACTGTAAAAAATGTTGTTTTATAAGTTTTTCTCGAAAAGTCAGTAGAATTGAAACAAGCTATACTATTAATAATCAGCCACTGAATTATGTTTCTTCTATTCGGGATTTGTAAATGGATTAACTCCTATTAACTATAAATTCGGGATACTAAATGTTTGTATGATTATATTCTCTCCTCTATTTCTCCATTTATCCCAATATCAATTAGATTGTTAGCTATTGCTGTAATTTGGTTTTCTTTGTAATAACTTTCAAACCTATTTGTTCACAATGTCTGTTAGCGCTAATAGAAGTATGAATATTAAGTGCTTAATGACTACTCCGTTAGTAATTATATTTTCTGTCCTGTCTTCCACACCTCCGAAATTATTTTCTGCATGTAAATGAAACAAAAGCGAAGAGAGCACATATCGCTGTGAACTTCTCTCATAATAAATTTTTCTTAGATCGTCTGACAGTGGCGTCATCTGGCGGTGAGACTAGGAAGTACTTATCGAAAAACCCTCATATCTGTGTAAATGTCATTAAAAGTTTCATAGAGAGTACTTATTATAGAATTGTTATTGATGCAGTAAAGCTAAGAACGACTTGGTATATTAATAAACGTATTTTATTGTAGATTTACAAGATCAGACGAATTACAAAGGCATAGGCGGACGCATACCGGAGAAAAACGGTTCCAGTGTAACGAGTGCAGTAAGAAATTTATGAGATCAGACCATTTATCAAAGCATCTTAAAACACACCAAAAACAAAGGATAACGGTTAGTTTCCGATTCTTATTTGACTTTTTTAGTTTTCTTTTGACATTGTTTTGATTCTTCATGGATTTATTTAAGACCAAACTTGTTTGCGAAATAGTAACTGCATTTTTACAGAAGCAGGATACTCCTGATGACCAAGAAGACGAATCGTGGGATCAAGATCAGCCCGAGTCAACTGCAGAACAAGAGACTGACATGAAACCAGTCTGGATAACGGACAGCAAAAATAATATCAAATATGCCATAACGCACGTGAATTATTCACAAGTAAGTAGCAATTTTTAGCTTCTTTCAATGTTTAAATAATATTATTCATTCCACTGACGCTGATATCCACGAAGTATATCTGCTTATACGTATTTCGCCCTAATAGGGCTCATCAGAACAGCTAGTCACAGGCGTTCTGATCTTGACTGTATTGGTACTTCATTAACTATTAACCTCACTTGATGAGCTGAATTATCATTGTTACATACCTGGTTTAAAACATACAGATCATTGTTTACCTCTTCAACCTGATCTGCACTAGATACACTAGAAACTATATTATCTTGATTTTGTTCATCAATTTTGGCTAATTTGGACATAAGACACACATCTCTAAAATGGCCAAATCTTTGACAGGAAGAACATCTCCATTTTTTGGCTGGACACTTATTCTTGGCATGCTGACGATTACATTTGTTGCAAAGTTCTCCACCTTCACCACTTTTAAAATTGAACGAATTATTACTTTTGTACCCCCTCACTTTTGGCTGATTATGAGCCATATTATAATTGGTTTTTCTAACACTATTTACACTAGTTTCTTCAGACAAATTTCGAACTTGTTTTTCAGCCAATTCTGCTGATTGAGCAGCTTTACAGGCACTTTGAAATGTCAATTGTTCATCTGCTAATAGTTTCCGTTGAATATTTTCCGATCTTAACCCACACACAAACCTATCTCGTAATGCTTCACCCAAAAATTGCTTAAAGTTACACGTGCTCACAAGTCTACGAATTTCAACGATATAATCTGAAACAGACTGACCTATCTTCTGATTGAATTTGTGAAAAATAAATCGTTCATAAATTTTAGATATAGGTGGTGAGTAATGTGTGTTAATAGCACATTACTCACTACCAATAACAAGCAATAACTTTCCTATATGATAGATCGCCTGAGCTTTCAGGTGCTGATAAATTTTTCAGTGTCTGATACACATTAGAACCAGCTAGCGTGATAAACATGGAGACTTTTGTTTCTTCCGTTACTTTTTTCGCCTCAGAAAGATGCTCCATTCGTTCCAGGTATTTCTCGAATTCTTCAGTTTTCCCACCGAATGCTTCTATATAATGGATTAATGCCATTTTCTATAAACTTCCGAACTCATCCCGCACAAACTATATTATCTTCATCGCCAGAATGTTGTGTATTAATAAAACAAGTGGTTGACGAGAACACCATTTAATCAATATTAAATTGAAACCGTACAATTACCAGTAATAACTAATCTTTTAAGTCTACTGGCCGCTATGTCACAACAGACCTTCTTGACATATTACCAACCTAAATTTATTACTGAATTTAATACTAAAAATATTTTATCTACAAATTAGATGCGCGCGCTGATTCAGTACTAAAAATTACAGCATATTCTAATTTCTTGTACTAGAAATGATGAAATATTAACTGAACATGAGGTTATTCTAAACTGGTGGTAACAATTTTTTAAATAAATTAGTATTCATTCGTAAAAAGTTTTTATATGCCAAAGGGTCTTCTACTAATAAGTAATAATTCTTCATTCAACATATTTAATATTCCTTTGCATAAACGCTTTGTTTAAAGAGCGTCATTATTTACCTGTGTGTTTTGTTTACTCCATTCATAAAACAAACTTTATTCGTTAGGTTATCAATACAAAATTGTTAGAGCGCCTGCCTACATACTAATTAAATTAAGATTGTTGCAAACACAAACCCACACTTTTCATATTAAATCGACTTGTAACTCATATTTTTAGTATTCAGTACTAAATTTAGTATAATGACAAGGTGACCTTATGGTAATGACAAATTTGGCCAATATCAGCGCTTTAAACGTGACGTATATCTCGTCCCGTCAGCTGCACAGAACGAATATCTTCTCAGAATATCCTTCTGCTACTTTTCTTTTTAAAGAACATTTTTGTTTTTTCTACTGTCTTGTTCTAATGATCATTTAAGTGTATCTACAATATTTTTCTGTTTTTCGTAGGAAGCTGCAACTTCAACCCAATCAGCGTCTTCCGACTCGAGCAACGAAGAAAAAATGATGATAACAATAAGTACATCAGAACCGGATGAGCTAATAATTGCAGAGCCTTTAGACAGCTGAGCACGGATTCAAGTGTACATATAACATGAGAGTGAATAATTGTTTAGTACATTAAAAAACTTTATTATCAGTTTTTGTTATACTCTTTAATTATTAATAATTTATTAAATTTGATTGTTTGTACCTATTGTACATTTGTACAGAATTTTAGAGGAATTATATATTTTTTATATAATTTTACTTGTGTTTTTATTATTTTCTTCATTTAGCATCTTTTCTGACGTATCGTTAGATCATATTCCTGTGATTGGTATATTTAGGTTTAGATTTAAAAAATATACAAAAAAGAATATTAACAAAAAATGTGATATCAGAAAACTAAAAGAAAAGGAAAAGTAGAAGACAGTCGCACGAATTCTTTCTAAAAGCTAAATAACATGAAGCAAACATATGATCCAGAAGAATCACTCCAGAATATATGTGAATCCTTTAACAAGATCAGAGAAGAACATCTAATAGAAAATAAAGAGAACAGGAAAAGTTGAATGAATGAATTACAGAGAAAAAAATCTAAAATCTAGGATAGAGAAAGCTAGATCTGCATTTCAAAAAATTGTTAGCTATTCAAATGCCAAGATTTATCAGTACCCATAAAAATCAAGTTACTACGATCTTATATATTTCCTATACTATTGTACGGAGTTGAGTCGTGGACTCTCACAGACGCTACCCGTAAGAAAATTGAGGCTTTCGAAATGTGGCTTTATCGTAGAATCCTGAAGATATCCTATACTAACCAGGACGTTTTATTAAGAATGCAAAAAGGAAAAGAGTTAATACAACATAAAAACCACAATTGAATACCTCGGTCACATCATGAGGAACATCGAAAGATATGGGTTGCTGAATTTAATTCTTCAAGGAAAAATAGAAGTAAAACGAGGTCCAGGAAGGCGAACAATTTTCTGGCTGAAAAATCAATGTATGTGGTTCAACACAAGGACTACAATTTTTTTCAGAACTGCAGTTTGCAAAATACAGATTACCATAATGGTCGCCAACATATAAAACAGATGCGCACTACAAGGAGAAGACCTTCTTTTCTATACGTATTTTTGATGCAGCTGCATTAAAAATATTTCTTCTACAGCTCAGCGGACAAAGTAATAAGTCCGAGCTACACTCCAGACATTGAGTAAAAACTATTGTAGTACTGTTTTCAGAAGAGGACATAAGTGAATTTTTCATAAAACTGGAAAAGTTTGATTATCAATCCGCCACTGGCGTACTGCACCTTTCCAACTCAATCTCAGATAACGAAATACAACAACATCTATTGGCTAAATCAAATGTATTGCATTCGGATGGAGGGGTACCTATATATTACCAAATTCACCGCAAAACCTACTAGTGTCTATTGTTAAATGGGATGAATGCCCATCAATGAACAGATACAGGGCGAGCAATTTTGCTTTCTAACAAACTACTTATCAAAAAATTTGTAATGAAAACATAAAAAGTAGCTCCTGTCATGCATTCACTTTGTGACCTCCCAATACTCCATTCTTCAGCAATTTCTGATGCCAGTTCTTTTGGAATTCTCTGATACTTAAATATTATGTTTATTATTCTAATTTTTTTCTCATTTTTAATATAAAAAATTGAAGGAAAAAGTAAATATGTGATTTAAAGTGATTTATTTGTTTTATGAAAAAATTGTATTAAGAACTTCAGAAATGAATTCAAACAAATTTTGTTTGAATGTCTATAAATTAGTATTTAAAATGAGATTTTTTAAAGCTCATTATGCGTAGTAGCAGAGTTACGATCGAAAAATACTTATTTTGCACTACTTTTATAATATCTCGAGTTCTAATTATTGGATTAAAGTTTAACAAACGCCATTTTGTTTGTTTTTTTTTTCAAGGAACAAATTTTATTTGAAAAATATTTTTATCTCTTAGATTACAAGCTAGAGCTCAATCAGATCGAAATTCGTAATCAGCAGCAAAAAAAAAATAATTTAAAAAACTTGGATGGGCTCATCAGAATTGAAAAGGCCATGGAGACTTAGCTGCTACCTAGACTAATATTGGCGGTGCCAGTTTACCAGCAGCATTACATAAGAACTGTTAGGCATTATGTTTGCCAAATAAAAACTTTTGTCACATTTTCTTGCCAATACGCTGTTTCCTTTGAGGTTAAGGAAAAATCATGTTTCGTCTTCATTAAAATACTCGACTTTGGTCATTTAGAATATCCTTGCAGTTCTCTAAAATGATTAAATACTTCACTAAACCATTTTTGAATGGCTTCTTTTGTTAACGTTAACCTTGTGGATTTTGAACAACTCTGGTACTTTTTCAGGATTTCTTTTTAATAATGCAGTAAATCGCGTTCTTCCTGGCTTGTCATTATAAGGATTATGTTTACCAAGTTCCTTCATGAACTGAACTCTGCTCACAAGCTGCTGTTGTTGTATATGAAAACCAGCTCTGGCTTCATCAGTGATGCATTTTTTGTTCACTGTTTTGACTTTTTTACTTGTACAACAAAGTCACTCTGAGTATACCCTACTTCTTTGGTATTGTAAAACTGGCTACCCACGTAGTACTTCCTTAATAGCTTTCCCCGTAGTTTGTTATGTAGATCGGAGCATTTGTCTTTATGGGAGGCATGTTTTAACTGAAAATTTTTATTTTAGTAGTTGACATCCAAAAAGTTTCAATAGTTGAGGTAGTGTCAACTACTAGATAGGCCCCCTTTCACCCATTTTCCCGATATTGAAATAAATATTTTTCTGTGGATTTGAAAGTGAAAACCAGTCCCTCAAAAACCAATTTATATTAAATAAGATAACATAAAAAACAGTTACAAAAATTAACAAAATATAAATTCTAATTTCTCATTAGATGCACCTCTGCCATATGCTTTTTAAATCCTTCTCGATAGTCAAAAGACTCCGGACACAGATGACAGCAGTACATGTTCGTCAGATCTGAGTGCACCAACCTCACATGATACTTCAACGCCGATTGATTCGAGTAAATCTTAAAATAAAAAAAACTATATAAGAAAAAAATAAAAAATACTATCTATAGGGACCAATTGTTCGAACACTAATCAAAACTTGAATGTATTGTAATAAAATATTTAATTAAAATCAAATACGTCACATTTTGGAGTTATGTTGTCTGATTTATTTTATACAATTTTATTATTTTGCGTTTTAATTTAAAATAAACCATAATTAATTTCATGTTTTTATTTACAAATCAATAATAATAATAATAATAAGCAATTTTTAATAATTTTGACAGCTGCTGTGACGTAATTGATTGTAATTAAATATTTGATTAAAATGAAGTTTTGATTAGCGTTCGAACAATCGGCTATAGATCATTTAGATTTTGTCGCAAACAAGGATATAGGAAGGATAAATGGGTTTCTATTTAACGACGATATAAACTACAATTGTTATAAAACTTCGTTCTTACGCATTTGGACGTTTTGGTCCCCAACTTGGAAGAGGTTTTCAAAATACAATTTTTAAAAAAGTTACTACTTTGTAGCTTTGGCAACAAAACAAATTGCTTTTATAATTTAACTTTATCTGCCTACCTTAAGGCAAATTTAGAGATGTTTTAAAACCTAGAGGATGTCTAACTATCCCAGGCATGAATGCATTTCTCGGATCTGCCAACGTATCTGTTTTTAATGCATGATTCATGTTCATTTATCCTAAGCCGTAGTGGTCGTGAAGTTTCTCCCATATAAAAATTCGAGAGGTATTTTATAAATGCAGTTTTCTGGTCTATCTATAATAGATAATAATAGACCTTCCAAATCTAATAGATAGAAAGAATAGATGTTCAGATCTTCTTAAAGAAATTTAATTTTATTTAGATCATAAAGAGAAATAATTTTGTTTTCTTTTTAAATAATTGGAGACTTGAAAAAAATTGGACTTAATCCATTATTACTCTGAAATATTTGGTGGAAAAAAATGGATTCAAAAGCGAAGTATGACAAAACTGGAATTTTAGTAAAAAAAAATAATAAATAAAAAACTTATTACAACAATGTTCAATAAAACATACTCTCACAGCTTTAGTGGCATTAGTTTTAATCATCATAGACCAGTTCATGATCGTCTATTCGTCTTCTTCACCTTGTTGCTAGTTTCATGAACGGGTTCCTGTGTTGATGCAGAGATTTTTAAAATGATAGTGTGTGACTGGTGGCAGATATGGGAGGAGAGACAGCATGTCCTTTTTCTTTGCTTCTGTCACGAGTCTAGGTGTGGAGTACAGATGAATTTGATTAACAATGAATTTTGAGACATTTGTTTTGGCCATCGAGACAGTAAAAAACGGAAAATCTTCTCAAGGATCTCTTTCGTACCTCATCCATCTCATTTCTAACCACTTCAAAGGTGCTCCATCACTATCTTTTTTTCTATTTACACGCACATATATGTTCTTTGTCGACACAATGTCACTATCGTTCTTATGTTTATGAACAAGATTTAGTAACGTGGCAGCCACTTTAAAATTTCTGTTTTGTCCTGTACATGAATCTGAATAGAGATTTACATGGTTATGGTTTTTGACATGTTTTCTCTGATGCAAGGTTGAAGATATTTCCTGAGATCCTCTACCGCCATCTGTTTCGTCCACACATACATAAAGCCGTTGTTTTTCTTGAAGGAATGAATTCCTAGGTTATAGACATACATATTTCTTTTGTAATATGCAATAGATGTAGTCAATTTCGGGTATGACAGTGCTTTTTGGAGGTCAAAAGTAGCAACATACTGTTCATCTGATGCGTCATCGCTGTACGATTTTAGTTCATCTCGAGCTTGTTTTGCTTTTGCTAGGTGGACATTTTGCTCAATAATAAGTGAAATGGATGTGTCAGGTTCAGTTACTGCAGCCATTTTTAACACTTTAGCTCCCATGTGCACCACCCGTGGGCACAGTAAGATTTCCGTTCAACCCATGTGTCCCACAGATGGGCACAAAACTTATCCTTGTTCATTTCGGTGTGTACCTTTTATAATAGCAGACGCAGATATAGACGATTTGAATTAATAGGCGTGGCATACGGGTTCTCTAGAATGCCTGTGGACGATGGTTTGATACTCCAGCAATTTTTTGAGTAAATACAGGTTATGATATTTAGCCTATCATTGTATCATTTACACGCGCTGTT